ATAGACATATTTGACCAGAACGAACGATCAAATTTACCCGATTCACATAAGTATTTTGCTACAGTTTCAATTGATAACAAGCCAATGCGTTTTGAGATAGATTCCGGAGCAGGATTTACATTAATACCAGAAAAGGCTTTCAATGAGTTAAATCTCAACGTCAAACTTGACCCAACTAATGTGTATTTCCGTGCTTATACAAATAATGTATTTAAACCACTGGGCAAAGTTACAGTTGAGGTTACTTACAAAAACCATAAATCAATTGAAGATATGTATATAGTTCCTGATAATTGTCCAGCAGTCCTAGGAAGAGTATGGATTCGACACTTACATATAAGTCTACAAGAAATAGATGATAGTTCAAATCAACCTAACTTTTTCAATGTCTCCAAAACCTTCCATTCAATTGATGACATATTTTCTGAATTTTCCACAATTTTTGACCAAAGAATTGGATGCTTGCCCAACCACAAAGTTACACTTCAATTACGTGAAAACGCTAAACCTGTGTATACCAAAGAACGTAACGTTCCGTTTGCCCTTAGATCTCAGGTTGAGGAAGAACTCAACAGTCTTGAATCATCCGGCATAATATCTAAAGTCGATGCTAGCGATTGGGGTTCGCCTTTGGTAGTTATTCCTAAAGAAAATGGCACAGTGAGGTTATGCGTCGATTACAAAACAGGCGTAAATGATCGTCTTGTTTCATCTAATTTCCCGATCAAACACATTCCAGATGTTTTACACTGTTTGCGAGACTCTAAATATTTTTGCAAGCTTGATATTTACAAGGCTTATTTGCACATTCCAGTTGATGCCCCAAGCAGCAAAATTCAAACTATTACTACACACCGCGGTACATACTTGATGCACAGACTTAGTTTCGGAATCAAGACCGCGCCTGCCGAATTCAATCGCATTCTAAGCCAAATTCTAAACGGGTTACCAAAGACTGAAGTTTATTTTGACGACATAATCGTGCACGGTACAACAAAAGATGAATGCTACAATAATTTACGGTTGTGTCGATTTCGTCTACATGCAAACGACTTGCATCTAAACAAAGACAAATGCAAATTCTTTTGCGAACAGATTGACTATCTTGGTCATGTGATTAAGTACAATCAAATTTCAAAAAGTCCAGAAAAGATTAGAGCTGTTTGTAATATGCCTCAACAAAGGAATATTGATGAGGTCCGGAAATTTCTTGGAATGATTACCTACTACGCTCGGTTCATCCCAGATCTATCTACAAAAACAACACCTCTTCGACAGCTTCTACAGAAAAATAGAAGATTTCATTGGTCAATAGATTATCAAACTGCATTTGATTGTCTCAAGGAGGAAATAACTTCTAAAAGAGTTCTAGTACCATATGACCCCCATCGTCCAATCGTTCTAACATGTGATGCCAGTCCTACCGGAATTGCAGCTGTAATGAGTCACATAATTGATGATGAAGAGAAACCAATCGCTTACGCATCCAGATCCTTAACTCCATCAGAGCGAAATTACAGTCAGCTCGATCGAGAAGCTCTTGCGATCGTGTTTGGAGTCAGTCATTTTTACAATTATCTGTATGGACTTCACTTCACCTTAATTACAGATAATGCCCCTCTTTCAAGAATCTTCCATGAAAGCAAATCCTTACCACCCATGACTTCCAGCCGTCTACTCCGTTATGCTTCTTTTCTATCAGGGTTTAACTATTCAATACGTTTCAAGAAAGGGGAAGCAAATGCTAATGTTGATTGTTTATCCAGAGCTCCAGTGACTCAACATTCTGAAACCTTAGACATTTTCCTAAACAATGAAGTTACCTTGCTACATTCAGAAACAATTTTTGAAATATCTTCTGAACATTTAAATGCAACTGTTCTAGCCCGGGAAACTGAAGCTGACCAAAATCTTAGAGAAATTAAAAGGAAACTTTTGTCTTCTTCTGCTGACCTACCATACACATTGGACAACGGAGTACTTTTCAAGGAAACTCGTGCTGTCATTCCTAACAGCCTTCAACCTCAAGTCTTACAGCAACTACATGCTACTCACATTGGTATTACAAAGATGAAGCAATTAGCCCGAAGATACGTTTATTGGCAAGGGATTGACAAGGACATAGAGAAATTAGTCCAATCGTGTGAAATTTGCGCCCACATAAAATTCAATCCTCCCAAAGCACCCCTTCATCCATGGGTAGAGCCAGAAGAAAACTGGGAGCGTATTCATATAGATTACGCGGGGCCTTTTCAAAACCACTACTTTCTTGTTTGTGTGTGTGCCAAGTCAAAGTGGGTTGAAGTTAAAGTATTGAGAAATGCTCCTACAACTTCTAATACTATTATTCTTCTCGACAACATTTTCTCATCTAATGGCTATCCTCAAGTGATGGTATCAGACAATGCCACAATTTTCACCAGCGCAGAATTCAAGAAATACTGTTCATCCAATGGAATTTTCCAGAAACTGATTGCACCTGGACATGCAGCTACAAATGGTCTTGCTGAATGTACTATCCAGACTTTGAAGCAAAGATTAAAAGCATTGGAAGATGACCATCGTCAAATACATACAAAGGTTCAAGAGATTCTTCAACAATATCGCGCCACTCCTCTCTCAAATGGACAATCACCTGCAGAACGATATCTTCATCGTAGGATCCGCATCAAGCTGGATGCTCTTCGACCTTACCATCCGGCAAAGAATCCTCCTTCGATAATAAGAGTTCGAACATTCAATGTGGGGGAGAGAGTTCTCATTAGGGAGTATTCACAAAATAATAAATATATATGGACATTTGGTGAGATTATACAGAAACTAGGGACTCTTCACTATATTGTAAGGTTAGATTCTGGAAGAACACTGAAACGTCATCTAGACCAACTCCGGAAAACTCAAGTAAAGAAGGTTCGTTTCAACGAATGTGAAGAAGTACCTAATCAAATTCCACAAGTTCCAATGCAAGTACCCATACTCCCGCAACAGCAAGTCCCTATGCAAGTTCCCGTATTACCAAGACAAGTTACAGAATTAGTCAGATTACCAGCTGAAGAGAACTTACAACCAACATCACCACGACCACGAATACGATGTTCAAACCGCACTCATAAAGCTCCAGATTACCTTAAAGACTATGTTACAAAATGAGTTCAAAATAAGTGGGGGAGATTGTAGTATTCTTTATACTGTATATTATCAGCTGTTGTCATTAATTAAAAAACAATGTTTACCTTTTCAATTTGCAGTTGTAAATATTACTTTCAATAAAAGAGTTTATTCAAATGCGTGCTTATTATGAACTCTAATTCAAAGTCACAACAACAACCCAATAAATAGGCTTTACATCAACACAGTGTAGGTTCTCAAATTAAATTGCCATAGCCTAATGTAAAAACGTCTTTTATGATTTTAATAATTTTGTTGTACAGTTGTTTATTATTATGAATTATTATTATGAAAAATTATGAATATAATAAGAGTTTTCATGGGATATTTATTGACTTCAAGAAAGCTTACGACAGCATTGATCGAAGGACCTTATATAGGAAAATTAAAAACATGACATACCTAAAAAATTAATAAAATTGACAAGGTTATGTGTTGACGAATCAAAAGCGAAAGTAAAGGTAGATGGAGAAATGTCGGAGAGCTTTAGTATAAATACAGGAGTGAGACAAGGGGACGGGATTTCCCCCACTCTTTTCAACATAGCGATTGAAGAAGCTCTACAAAAAGTAAAAAATCTAAAGAGAGGCCTAAAATTGGGTGTAGACTTAAATGTCATGGCCTTTGCAGATGATGTGGTGATATTGGCTGAAAAGTCGGAGGATTTGTGATTTCTAGCCGACAAGTTTATTCAAGAATGTAAAAAAGTGGGTTTGGAACTAAATGAGGAAAAAACCAAAATAATAAAGTTTGGACGACATCCCATCAATAGAGGCACCAATTTCAATATAGCCAACTATGTAATTGAACCAGTAGAAAGCTTTAAATAGGCTACTTAGGAGTTACTGTAAATAGCTTTAACATAGAAGATACAGAAATATTAAGTAAATTAGCGAATGCCAATAAATGTTTAGGTGCATGTATGAAGCTCCTGTCATCAAAACTCCTATCATCTGATACAAAAATAAGAATATATAAAACCATTATTCAACCAGGGTTATTGTATGGAAGCGAGACCTGGGTCCTATCCAAGAAAAATGAAGGACGCTTGATTGTTTTTGAAAACAAGGTCCTAAGAAAAATATTCGGCCCAGTAAACGATGAAGGAGAATGGCGGATTAGAAAAAACAGAGAGCTACGAGCGTTATACCAGGACCCTGATATAATAGCTTTGATAAAGGCAAAAAGATTAGGTTGGCTAGGTCATGTATTGCGAAGGGAAGAAGGAACAAGACTGAAGGAAGTATATTCTGCTGTACCAACTGGAAAGCGTCCACTGGGTAGACCAAAAATGAGATGGTATGACCAAGTTAAGAGAGATGTGAGTCAGTGTGGAGGGACAGTGGAGATGGCAGCGGACAGAGAAGCGTGGAAGAGGCTGATCTACGAGGCGAAGAATCGACTGCGATTTGTAGCGCCCCAGCAGTAAGCAAGTAAGTTGTTTAGTATGCATATACAGTATTTTACTTAATCATGCTGTAATTTAGCATGAGGAATAAATATATTCTTGTTTAATTCATCAATTCTCTAAATGTTTTAGTTGGAGAAAATGAGAAGGAAGCCTATAGGCCTATTACATAAATGGGAGCTAAACAAACATTAGGATATTGACAAAATAATACTAATCTTTATGATATCTTTACAAACACACAGTTTTACTATTACTCATATATACAAGTAAAAATCAATGACCTAATAGAAACAGCTGACTGGAATCATATTTCCTTCAACTCTTCCAACCAACCACGAGAATTCAATTGGATTGTTGCTATGGTGACGACATCATGTATTCAATTTGAATCATGAAAACAAATTAAAGTTATTTGTTTATATCAAAGCTTGCTTACTCCGCTCAATTGGCGGACCTGAGGCCGGATGCCTAGTAAAAAAATATATGTACTAGTTCATGAATATCATAATGTCTCCTAAAATCAAGGTTTTACACGCCACTTAAACTTTGTAGGCTAATATAAAAAAGTAGGCCTACGGTATGATATCGTATTGTATTTTGAACACTGATGCCCTTTGTAATTGCTATAAATTATTTATACCTATGACTCATGATGAAAACTTTATATATTTTTTTCATCAGGACATGATTGGAATAGAAAGTGTCCAACAAAAAATATAGCAGCTTTTAAAGCTTACTTTGTTATTAGTTTATACTGAAACAGTAACGGACACTTTGTGCAGTTACCTGTGCACTTTATGCAGTAAGTACTTTATACAGTTCAAATTTAGGTTACTTTTGTTCATATTATAATAGTATTATAGTTTCTTGGCAATACATCAACTCTACTTACACGACATATGTCTGGAAGGTATGGGGGTTTAGTGAGTGGGAGAAAATTTTGCGCCGTTCCGGCCAAACCTCGCATGCGGGGTTGGTTCGGCAGATTGGCCACAACCTAAACCCCAACTCTCACTTGTTAGCTGCGGAGAGCTACCTTCTGCCACTGGGTGTTGGTCCACCTACAGAACCAAGTGAGGGGGGCCCTAGACTAAGGTGTAATGCGATCCGTGCCAAGAGTCTTGTGGCACTGGGGGCCTAATATTCAGTGTCTTAACGGAGCCTTCTGGGAACCAGGGGTAACCCAGTCGTACACACCCCTTACCTCTCTAATCGGGTCACTGGGGAGGTGGACTTAAATACCCGGTATTCGTGAGAACAATGTAGACAGTCTGACCCAAATGGAGGAGGAAGGTCTACTGAAATCTGACAATGATGACAAGCTCGCAGAAACCGGAAAGGAACGAAAAACGACTTTCCAGGGGAGAGTTGCAAAGATGGAGGATAGCGGATGCTTTAGCCAAAGGCGAAAAGGTGCTATCCAGAAGTGAGAGGAGGCTGGTGTGGGCTGCCAAGCACCCTAACTCTGCTGCCTGCAAAGCCAGTTCCTCCGGGAACTAGGATGCTGGGAAAAAGCAGAGCAAGGGTGGTACCCCCAAAGCTGACTCTAATGAAGCCTCCAGGAAGAAAGGTGGAGGCTGTGCTGACACAGCCACAAAGGATTGGCTGGTCAAGCAAGTTCAGGAGCTGAGATCTTTCAGGGAAATCTCGCTACGGCTTGCCCCAGCCAGAGACCTTGTGAAAGCTGTGAAGGTATATTTATGTGCCCAGCCCTACAAGGTCTGCGTATGAGATCCCTCGTACAAAAAACGACTTTCCAGGGGTGAGTTGCAAAGACGGAGGATAGCGGATGCTTTAGCCAAAGGCGAAAAGGTGCTATCCAGAAGTGAGAGGAGGCTGGTGTGGGCTGCCAAGCACCCTAACTCTGCTGCCTGTAGGATGCTGGGAAAAGGCAGGGCAAGGGTGGTACCCCCAAAGCTGACTCTAATGAAGCTTCCAGGAAGAAAGGTGGAGGCTGTGCTGACGCAGCCACAAAGGATTGGCTGGTCAAGCAAGTTCAGGAGCTGAGTCCTTTCAGGGAAATCTCGCTACGGCGTGCCCCAGCCAGAGACCTTATGAAAGCTGTGAAGGTATATTTAGGTGCCCAGCCCTACAAGGTCTGCGTATGAGATCCCTTGGCCTATTGATGGGAGATCAAAGGGAAGAACAGGTCACCATAGTCAAGAGGCTCTCACGGTTCACCAAGGACATATGTCTTGATTTTTTATATCAACATGCTTTTTTATAATTTTCAATGAGAGAAAAATCTACTGAGCAGAACAAATACTTAAAAAATTTAAGAGAAATTAAGAGAAACTTACAAAATGATTTAATTGGCCATTTCTACTCCACCGTTACAAACACATGAGAATTTTTAATAATTATTTTAAAAAATTAATAAGGCCGATGACTTCTTCCATATCTTCTTTATAATCCACGAATTAGAAACAAAACGTGAGAGCTTTTGAATTTTTGAAATACTGTAACTCCAGATCTAATAAAAATTATATATGTTTGAGAGGCTTACCAAACACAAACTACTAAATCAGGCGTAGGCTAAGACTTTTTCCTTATATTGTGATGTCTAAACATTAACCTTGGTGTACAATTATTAATTTATTTAATAGTCTACCTTCCAAACTACTAAAATCTATTATATACTAAATATATTATATTTTTTACTAAAACATTGTACACATTTTTTATTCCAACAGTATGCGCAAATTTCCCCTACGATGCACACAAGCTGAGAAAAAAGGGTTTAGCGAAACATGATTGCCTATTAATATATAGATTTTTGGGGATTTGTAGTTGTCATTGTAAAAGTTCATTGTTTAGTTTATATTTCGGTTTAAGGGTTAACTGTAAGAAAGACCATTTGGTTCTAATTGTTCGCCTCAATTTTCATTCATTCATTCATACATAGCCTAATAATTAAGTTTTCTAGGAGTTTTGGGTTAACTCCTGATGTTTCTAGGACATGTATTGATAATAATTTCAAAAATTTAAGAGCAGTAAACACTTTTAATTTAAGTTTGAGATGTCATTCCAACAAGCCAGCTGCCAGTGCAGAGGTTAATTATAATCAAGTTTTCATGTAAAATAAATTTAGTGAAGCTATTACAAAATTACAAATTTCAAATATAAAAATTACTGTAATGTAAACGAAAACTGGATTACTCAGGGAATAAAAATCTCAGCAAAAAATAAAACAAAATTCACAAGGAAGCTAAAATAAATAGACATCTGCAATTATTAATCTATTGTAAAAAGTTAAGCACAATATTTAAAAAAAACTTTTTATCTAAACAAATTTACAGTGTTAGCTAAACGGGAGTGCCGATGGAGACCAGGTCAAGTCCCTTCAAACACACGCACCCCCACAGGTCTCCATCGGCACTCCCGTTTTGCTAACACTATAAAGGTAATAATACATTTATTAGGAACTCAAACAATTAAACTATAGTTAGATGTGAACTAGGTCCAAGCATAGACTAACCCTATGATGTTTAGTACACCCTGTTGAATTAATTATATGAAATAAACTTTATACAGTTATCTCCTACCATTGAGTTAAGTTAATGGAGACTTCTGAACAAATGGGTGTAACTTATATTTACTTTACACTGCTCCACCACATTTAGGCCACCTGTATTGGCAACCAGAGATGAAAGCAGAGTACTCATTTTATAACTTAAAAAATCTTATAATATTAATTAACAAATTAACATCACAAAGTTAAGTATTTATTACAAGTAATACACTAATGAGGTTACTCTTGCTAATGATCCAAATATGTTACAAAATTTTTCTTTTAAGATATATGTAATAGATTTTACACAAGTACTGTACCTATAAAGTCCTTCTCCAGTATAAACCAATGTATGTCTCTTCATCTTGCATTTTGTTGTTAAGGATTTTCCACGGATAATGCACAAATAAGGTCACTCTGTGTTTTTAATCATTGTATGTATCACCATTTGTTTTCTGTGTGAGATTTAGTACTAAACTAAGATCAATCTCCAGTATGAACCAATGTATGTCTCTTCATAATACTTTTGGTTGCAAAAGATTTTCCACATGTACTACACTTAAAAGGTAGATCTCCAGTATGAACCAATGTATGTCTCTTTATAATACTTTTGGTTGCAAAAGATTTTCCACATGTACTACACCTAAAAGGTCGATCTCCAGTATGAACCAATGTATGTCTCTTCATAATACCTTTAGTTGCAAAAGATTTTCCACATGTACTACACTTAAAAGGTCGTTCTCCAGTATGAACAAATGTATGTTCCGTCATATTGCCACTGGTTGAAAAAGATTTTCCACATGTACTGCACTTATAAGGTCGCTCTCCAGTGTGAACAATTAATGTATGTTTTTTCATATTACTTTTGTATGTAAAAGATTTTCCACATGTAGTACACTTATAAGGTTGCTCTCTAGTATGAATCAATAAATGTTTCGTCATATTACCTTTGCTTGTGAAAGATTTTCCGCATGTACTGCACTTGTGAGGTTGATATTCAGTATGAAACAATGCATGTTCCTTCAATATGTATTTGCACTTGAAATATTTTCCACATGTACTGCACTTATAAGGTTGCTCTCCAGTATGAACAAATGTATGTTTCTTCATATCACTTTTGGTTGCAAAAGACTTTCCGCATGTAGTGCACTTGTAAGGTCGCTCTCCAGTATGAACAACTGTATGTGTCTTCATACTATCTTTGGTTGGGAAAGATTTTCCGCATGTACTGCACTTGTAAGGTTGATATTCAGTATGAAACAATGCATGTTCCTTCCATGTGTATTTGCATTTGAAAGATTTTCCACATGTACTGCACTTATAAGGTTGCTCTCTAGTATGAAGCAATGTATGTTTCTTCATACTGTTTTTGTTTGTGAAAGATTTTCCACATGTACTGCACTTATAAGGTCGCTCTCCAGTATGAAGCAATGTATGTTTCTTCATATTACCTTTGGTCTTGAAAGATTTTCCACATGTACTGCACTTATAAGGTTGCTCTCCAGTATGAACAAATGTATGTTTCTTCATATTACTTTTGTATGTGAAAGATTTTCCGCATGTAGTACACTTATAAGGTTGCTCTCCAGTATGAACCAGTATATGTTTATTCATACTACCTTTGGTTGTGAAAGATTTTCCACATGTAGTTTGCACTTATAAGGGCTTTCTACAGAGTGTGTCAACAAATGACTAATTACATGATTTAGTTGGATAAATGATTTTTCACAAATCAAACATTTAAAGGGACTCTCCCCCGTATGCTCTAATATATGATTCCTCAGTGTCCACTGAGATGAGAGGATTATTCTACAAAATGGACATTTGTATGGAAGCTGTTTAGTGGTATTTATCATTTTTTTTAGTTTTCAACATTTATTTTGGTTGAACTAATCAGAACCTAGTAACTACAAGACAAAACTAGTCAGTTTGCTTTGTATGTCTATTTCAATATTTCCCTTGTTCAACAATTTTTTTACTGTACAATAGGACTAATTACTTACATAGCTTAGGGCTTATATATTCAATTTCCAGACATCTTTTGCTCAAATCTTGTTACCGATGTGTTGGAGGTGTAATATAGTAGTGGGATTTTCCCTTTTATCTGCTTGTCTTTTTTGTTCAATTATATCACCTAATCATATATTTTAAGATTCTTTTCCTTATGTCAGGAATAGTCTATTGGCACTTCTGAAAAAGACGATGCATTATTAGACTTACAGGCTACATTTTCACAACACATTTATTGATCCGTTTCTTTAGATTTAGCAATAATTCAAAATATTACTAAATAATACTAGCTCAAAACACCATAATGATCCAAAATAGCGTTCTACATGCCAATTAAAATTGTGTACCGTAGGCTAATCTACATAAGTAGGTAGGTACAGCATAACAACATATTGTATTTTGAACGCTTTCTGAGGTTTAAATCTTAACAGCTCTTAGCAAACCTTTTCCTTATTTTTTAAGCAATCTCTGCTTATTATGACATTATTAGGGAAGGTCATAATGACCTTTTACATACTGTAAATATATTAGGGTCAATCCATAACAAATCATACAGGTTTTAAAAAATTATTTCTCCTCAAATTTTTTTAGCCGGCCATCTGTATTTGTGCAAAACCATAGACAAAAGAATGAAATACAGTCTGAACAAGGAAGGTTCCACAATGTGCCGCTGTAGCATGCTCAGTGTTTGTCGATTTGCTGCCGTCATCGACTCGCAGTCTGCTACCAGCACTAGCACCCTTGCCGACAAAATGATACTAATGTATCATACCAACTTTTCAATATGAGAAGGTACCTATAGTGCAAAACTCTTAAATCCCATAGTTTTAAAGGAAAAGACATTTTTTTTTAAATCCCAGGAAATTTTTAAAACCTGGAAAAATAACGGAGCAAACTCCGACTCTCCAGATCCCTAGGAATTCCCCGGACATTGGCAACACTGGCTTCAACTACCAAGTTGTCATGGCAACTCTCGCTATTTAATTCTTTATGGCAAAACCCACGTGTTTGACAAAAATTATCGTTTACTAGATACTCCACTCGCTCCACGGTCGCTACGCCACTGGGAGGGACTAAATTACGTTTTAGGCTAACTATGTCGAAATTCTCCAAAAATAACATACTACCTAATCCTGTAAATTTCTTAAGTTAAATAAACTAATGAATTGCAAGCTAAGTTAAGTTAGCCTAAGTTGTATCATGAAATCTACGAAGATGGTTATAGCCTAGATATTGTTAAAGCCGGTTTAAAGAAATCCTAGATAAAAATAGAGGATTGAAAAGACAAGCAAGATGAAGGGAGATATAACTTCATAATGATTAATTAAGTAACTTAACTTACTAATCCAACTTGAATTTGCAAATTATTTATAACTTAGTAGGCGAACAAAACCTGATTATTTTCACCACCATTATTCTCCTACTCTTGATTGGTCTCATAGAGTTTAGATTGCAAAGTATTCAATGATTTTCTCAATTCCCCAATTGATTACCAGTAATTTTCATTAGGTAATTTAAAAAGTTAGCCTAACCCTACTAAGTTAACTTACATACAATTAAAACTTATGTTTTGGGTTATTATAAGTTGTTAGGCCTAGAAGTTACCTAACTTACAAGCCCTACAATCACTTGTAATTCCCTAAGTTAATTATTGTAGTTTTACAACTCAGACCAGTCATTAGCCATTAAGAACTAAGCCTATAGATAATGAATTAAGTTATGCCCTATGATGTTTTGCATCCTATGTTTGAACACAAAACAAGAAAAAACGGTAACGTTTCGAATAAAGAATGTACTGTATACAAAATTACAAACTAGCTAAATCGAGAAGCTTCGAAGTTAGTTCAAGCTGAGGGAAAGGCTAGCACAACCAACAACATTCCAACAGGTTATCTCGCCAAACAAAACAACTCTTAGTTTAATGACACTAGTTGATTAATTTAATTACCCATCTTAGATAAAAATGTGAAGATTACCTGTTGAAGGATATGATATATCCGATCACTAACCACAAAATCCAAAATCACAATACACAAAGCAAAAAATATCAGAACACTAACTAAGTAAAGTAACCCGAACTTTGAAGTTAGTGTGAGAGAGAACTGAGAAAGGCAAAGGAGTAAGAAAAAGAACGCGCGAGGCCGAGACCGAGAACGAGAACGCGAGACGAGAGAGAACGAGAGAACTGGCTTGACCGGTTGGTTACTTGGTTATCGCCATCGGCTATTGTTGAACAGAGCAGGGGTGCCAATAGAGATTGTAGTAGATCTAAATATACCTGATACCCCCTGATACCTGTCTCCTTGTCCGGGCCACTTTATTTTATTGTTGTCAATACAATATGCTATCTATACATACTATGTTGCAATAAATAGAACTCTGCAGTTTCAGGGTTTTGACTCAGTAGAGGCATGCACTTTCAAATTTAATAAATTATATTAATAATGTGATGTGGAAAACGAAAAGGGACCTCTTGTCGGTTGTCGGAAATTTTGTATTTTGAGTTATATATATATATATATATATATATACAGGGTGTTGAAAAAGTCTTAACAAACCCAAAAATAAATTAAACAGCATACGATAAAATTTTGGAACTTCAACAATCATTATATATGATGACTTTTCTAGCTTTTTGCAAGAAATCAAAATTTCCCCCCCCCCTTCCCCTTTAAGGATGGATAGGGGGCAACTAAAAATCTTCAAAAATAAGTACCCATGTTGTGACCCATCATCTTAAAGGCCTTAATTAGTAGAATTCTTTGCCGCAAATTTTAACTCAAACGGATATCCGAGTCGAAAATGGCAGCCGTTCAGAGATATCTTGACAGCTGCCATTTTTTAATCAGTTGTTCTTTTGAGCTCAAATTTGTGGTTGTGGCATTGTATTCTACTAATTAAGACCTTTAATTTAATGTGCATATTGACCTATCCATACGCTTATGATTTTCCTCCGACTTCTACCGGGTCATCCTCCTGAGGAGGTAGGCTACCGCATGACTGAATTATGTGTTAAAATCATATTGACATTTTGAAGAATTTCCTACAGGCTGAACGAATCGGGGACTGGAATCTACATTAGTTAGCAGTTAGTTAGCTCTGGACGACATGCCACCATATTTTGCAGCAGCACTAGCAGGGCACAGCTTATACACAAAGACAGTGTATAATATATACATTGTCTTTGTGTATAAGCTGTGTTATATTATACACTTCCAAAAGATGCAACAGCTCGAGAAGTCTCACCCAATTGGCAATTGTGTACAAACAGTTCCAAAAAGGTGTCCATGCTGTTCTTCGTAGTGAAAAGCATTTGGCAGTTTCCAGTTTCTTTCCAGTAACCTAATAAATCGAACAGGAACTGACTGATGAGACATGAGAAGCAGAAGCATCAAACATACAGGAGGGTTGACGAGAGGAAGAGAAATTACAGAAGTCCATCATCAAGTATCCACCATGGGTTCAATCCATGATTCCATCTACAAAGACGTAAACAATGCAATGCAAGAGTTTAATGTCATCTTATTATAAATGTAAAAGTTTGTGTGTTTGTTTGTTTGAAGTTCAATCACGCATTAACTAATGGATGAATTGGGCTGAAATTTGGCAAGATGATAGCTCACATTCCCAATTAACATATAGGCATATTCTTATCTCAAAAATCCTTTCGGACTCCGCCCCAGTGGCTCTGTAGTTCCCCATGTTAACCTTATGAATATCTATAATATTAAATCGAAGCAGTGTTTTTAGCGAATTTTTCTATAGGGAAGTAGCTATTACCGTAGGTCTCATGGTAAGACTTAGGCCCGGGACCGATTTACTTTTTCATTTTGATGTCCCCAGAGGCCAAAAACACCATTCGTTCAAATTTGGATATATGTATATATATATATAGATTTATATATATATGTGTCCGTGAACACGATAACTTGAGTAATTTTTATCCGATTTTGATGAAATTTGGTTTGAAGGTGTAAGGCGGGATAAACTTGAATGAGTTCGCGATCCAGGGTGATCGGACCATGGGAACAGGGTTTTATGGGGAAAAATTGGTTTTTCTCACTTTTGACCCTCAAAACACAAAATTTCCCGATTTTTCTCTAAACCTTCTTAAAGAGCTTAAAAAAAACAAACAATTCATTATATCAAAGTGTTTTTGTACGGTTATTGGTTACGGAGAAAACTAAAAAAATTGTAAATTTAAAATTCCCATGTTATTTTTATGGAGAATATTGTAAAATGTTGCAGTTTGCTTGTTTATGGATATCTTTTGATCAAACTTGGCAAATGTATTCATTTTCTACTAAGCAATAATTATTTTACTTAAAATACACACTTTATTAGTTTCCTTGTAGCAGCAAACCTAGGTACCTACTCGTTAAACCTAATGTTATTTAAATAGATCGATTGAAAATCAATTCAGCCAAATGGAAATTCGCTTAGACGGCAGGTTTGCTGCGGCGGGGGTATTTTATTTCACGATTCTGAATCAACCACTCGACGGATTTTCATGATTTTTGTGTTGAAAGAAAGATAATTTTGAGAACTAGGGAATGTCGAAGCCATAATTTTAGTTTAGGGTTTTAGTTTTTTAGAAATTTAGT